AGAGAGAGAGCAACCCTGTCGAACACCAGTTTCCGTGGTGAACTCGGGCGAAAAAGTGCCAAAAGCTCGAACTCGGCTTCGGCTATTAGTATAGAGGGACTATAATATTGAAGTTAACTTTTCGGGCACATCTTTCAGAGAGAGGCACTGTCAGAGTTTAGAGCGATCGATTGAGTCGAAAAGCCTCTTTCAGATTCAGGAAGACAGAGGTGATGGGTGCTCCAGAGTTTAGCGAAGAGTGAAGATGTGGTTGATACAACCTCGACCAGGTCTAAAGCCAGCCTGGTTCTCACGCGTGTACCGTTCACCTGCGGTAGACAATCGACGGAGTATAATGCCAGCGAGAAGTTTAGAGATGATTAAACTAATTCCTCTGTGGTTTTCACAAGAGGATCTGTCACCTTTCTTGTAAATCGAGTAAACTAATTCCTCTGTGGTTTTCACAGGAGGATCTGTCACCTTTCTTGTAAATCGGTATGGTTGGAACCGCTTCCCTCTCCCACACTGAACCCAAGAGTTTTCATACACGGGTCTTCTGGATTAGTTTGGAATCAGGGTTTTTTGACCAACTCCCCCAGGTAAACTGCTGGTGGTCCACAAACCCGGTTATAGCTCCGGATGTCGGCTGTTCGTCCTCTCACTTTGGCGGGAAAACATCACCACGAGAAAACAGCGAACCGAGCTTCGCTGATCGTGTGTGAGCATTTCGTGAGTTCCAAGCTCTGTGGAGTCAGCCACAGCTCAAGGCACCTATTTCAGTTTGTGTCGGTCCAATACCTTGGACAGTGTGACAATATTGTTTAACCTAGAAACAAAATTTAGATTGAATTCCATCGTTTGTCAGATTTGGATTCTTTTCTGTCATATAATCCAGTTGTAAAAATATCAGACTTTTCGTAGGGACGCCGTCCACACACTGTGTATGGAGCAAAACCCTGGGCGAAAGGTACCAAGCTCTGTGGGAGTCGTATTCATGTTTTCTGGTTGTCATGATCTCAAAATGAAAGAAAGCAGAGAATCTGGTTAGTTGTTGCCGAGCGCAAGGTATGCTGAGTAGGTATGAATGTGCTTTTGTGGGTAGTTCTGTAGAATGCATGTCAATTCGATTATAGAAGCAGGTCGCTAATTAGTTGTGAGCCTAGATATGCGAAAATTGAGAAAGAACTATTGCGTGTGCACGGGAAAACGGTAAGGATTACGCATTAAGATGGATCAACCATGTACATATAAACTTGCTGATAAACCACTGTATCGAGCACCAAAGCGACTTCAATCGATGCTGATACAGAACAGCTACGAACAGCCGAACTTCGGAACTGTGATCAACCCGTATTTATCACAAATCCGGAACTCCACGATCGCAGCTGTTGAAAGATGCAGTATGGCAGGNGGGGTCGCAGTGCATATAATGGGCTAATTGTTTGAGGTGAAAGACTGGTGATTCCAGGAGTAAAGCGTCCAAATCTGCTAGATCAGTTCCATTGTTCGCATGTTATCACAATTCTATGATGAACAAATATGGCAATCAGGCTTATAGTGAAGAAAAAAATACAAAACCAAGGGAATATAATGGGTGTTGTTTCATGACCTATTTTTCCGCAATGCACCGAAAACTTTCCTTATTCGAACTGACTATGTAAGCAGATTGATTTTAAAATCTGTTTTCGTGCTGGAAGCCTAAATAATGAAGAAACGAATTTTAACCATTGGGGACAATGGATATTCCTTGCTGTTCACAATCAGTTGCACCACAGTGCGATTATTTTCTATCTACTCATAAGTAGGCCATACTTGTTTGCACGTTTTTCTTCTCATCGGACCTGCAACCTAGTCACGCTTGACAATTTTCTGTTGTAGATCCCGTGTCGCTTGTT